TATCTCCAGTAACAGCAGAAACTGCACTGTAACAAGTGTTCACTTTTGGATAAATTAAGGTGGTGCTTAATAAAAATTCAGCAACATTTTATTATTAAATACCTAAATAATCATTACACCAACTCTTTGAGGCAACACCTATTGAGATTTTGGCCTATATAAAATAAATAAATAAATATAAAATAAATAAATTTATTTATTTGATAGGAATCAGGCTAAAGACGCACAGAGAGTGAGCCTTGGGGGAGCTCTGCAGGACAGGTGAGTCTATCAGATCTCAAGGCTAATTTTACTTGCAAGGCTGTTCCCAAAATGCAATCGGAGCTTACAGTAAGTATTGAGCAGCAAACTTGTGTTTTTCCAAAGTGATGAAGCTTTTGCATCTCATTGTACTAACTTAAATTGCATATCACGGCAGACATCTCAAAATACATAGTCTTCTGGGGGCTAAGCATATATTAATACATTTTGGTAGAGAGGAATATAGGCCTACTGTCATATAGGTTATGTTATCGGGCATCCTTCTAATTCCCTTGAACAACCAAGATTGAACTTTTGAACTCTTTATAATTTCTATTATCTAGTCCAGTTAAAGTCCAGGGGAGGAAGCCCCATCATAGTAAAGAGGATACTAATGTGATGTGTGTAGTTCTTCATAGCCTCTTCATTTTGCTCTCAAAGTGCATGGAATTGATGGATTTTTAACAGAATGTAGAGAAAAATTCTCCCGGGGGGCATGCCCCCGGACCCCCCTAAAGGGGCTGTGTTCCCCTTGGGGCTAAGCCCTCCTTGTTCTTGAAACCTAGTGACACCCCTGATTAGGAGTCTTTATATTGGACAATTTAGCAAAATTATTGGATGAACATAAGTTCAGATTTACTACATAAAACGTGTCCATGACTTCCGAGTCTTTGTCACAACCTCAGGAAACACTTTGGACATTCTCATCTTCACCATCACCATGTGGCTAACAACACGCAAACCTTGTGTGTGGATCTTAGTCACACCCCACACTGACATTAGATTCCATGTGAGACATGATGTTAGCATTAGCATTGTGTGCTAACCAATTTGGACACTTTAGTCTTCATTTAACAACGAAGCACAACCTTTTAGATGACTAATATGAACAACCATGAAGAACAATGATGAAAGAAAGATAAACTACATATTCATATGACTTGTACAAGTGTCATGGTGGTGTTAATACACCGAAAACCATTTTTAGAAGGGGAAATGTTCATTTCTATTCTTCAACATAAAAGTGAACTAGATGTTTGCACTTGAAATATTCCAACGTGATGCGTGTCTCAACCCATCACCTGCCGTCGGAATGCTAACTTTAGCATAGCGGCAAAGAGCTTCCTACAGGCTGCACCCAGTCCCCATGCACACCCACTCATCCCGACTGGACTGAAGAGGGGAAACACAGACAAGAGAGTTCAACTCCTTAAAAGGAAAAGAAATCACAGAGTGACTCTTAAATCCACAAACCTTAACTGCTCAACAAAATGTCCAAACAATCCATTCTCATTATCGTTCGGTAATCCTCACAGAACATACAATGTAAACCTCTATTAGTCATACTGACTTGACCTTATATACAGTATATTTAATTTTAATGTATCATATTCATTCACAAGTATGAAGACTACTATTACAGGTTACTTATAAGTACTTGCATACTTTAATCAGCGCTACATGCATTTCAAAGACTTTTTGTGCATTTCAATTGTTTTGTCTTCGTGGATATACATTTACATCTACTATAAAAATCAGCTAATGAGCCTGATCAACTTTACCTGTATACCGGTTAGCTAGTATTAACTACTTTAAATACATTTAGCTTGTTTAAACTCCCTTTCATCTTTTCCAATTTGAACTATTTTATTTCCTCCTTGTTCGTGTGTCAAACACATGCCCTCCCCACCTCCCCATCGCTAGTCTCTACCTATCACATTAATAAACAGTCAGACGGTCGAAAGTACTTCATTTAAAATTCGTTGTGTACTTGGATGGAGAAGTTGAGCCGGAATGTTTGCATTTTGTGAGACTGAGGTTGGAAATATTTCCCCAAAGAACCGCCGAAGCGCAACATGAATGTGGAGGGTAGCCAGAAACTTCACCAAGGGAAAACAAGAGGTGGGAAAACAAGAAAAGTCATATATGGAGGCCCGAGTTTCAGAAACCTAAGAAATTCTTGCCATGTACAGTATTGTGTACACTGTACAGTAAGTACATGGATAAAATTCTTCAATCATCTCGAAATATACTTAAAGTTCGCCCCGAAGCGGCCAACCAGCAGCAGTGCAGCCCCGACGTACTCACCCGCGAAACATTTTACGATTGGCTGTGCTGTCGGCTTCGGCGAAGACAGATTCTGTCGCGATTGGTGTACAGCTGGAAGGACAGTGAGACCTGCTTGTGATTGGTGGGCATCAGCCAAATGTAGGATGTGATTGGTTAAAAGTGCTGCGAGGCGTGTGGGGGGGGGGTGCATCTGAGTTAGCGCTGCGCGGCTGAAACCCGGCGAGCGAGCGAGCACGTTGTCAAAGTGCTTCTCTTTCACTCATCTAAAAGAATACTTTTTGTACAAAAGCAACTAAAGCCTGAGACAATCGACCTCTGGTGAGTAACACCTTGGATTGGGGCGCGCGTAAGTGCTTAAAGTTGCCATATTGCGATTCCTCCGCATCGGTTTAGTTAATTGGGTCGTTGAGGAGGGCGCCGTCTATGTCCTGGAAAGCGAAAGCTATACGTTAGCAACTGATAGCTTAAAAGCGTCATTTTCAACAAATGACGGCATTTCCTATAGCGGCGAGACACTTCCCACAATAAGCGCGTTTACGATCCATTAGCATGCTTTTTGTAGATGTCTTTGTCGGAGAATTAGCCAGCATCCCTGTGCTTGTTCCCTGCCATGCTGCGCGCTTTCGTTTTCGCTCCAGGCCGCTGCCTGAATTTCTCATCGTTTTTCTTGATTAATTTGACTTATTGAGGAATATATACCCCCCAATGTTCCTCGCACTTCTCCGAATAGTTCACCTGGTCTTGACTCTTGTCGTTGACCAGTTCCTCAAGTTGCAACAGTGACTCGAAACTCGACTTGGCACGTGCTAGCCGGCGTCGCCGAGCCTCGAGGCCCCACGGAAAAGTTCGACAATCTTCACATAAGTCGGGTTCGCAAAGCCCTCCTTCGCCACTATAACCAGTGAGTTGGCCAATTCGTAGTGTGGTTTAAGTGAAATGTGCAGGGAGTGTTAACAATCCCTTACGAAGTGCTCTCGATTAGCGTTGGTCGACGCTTACATTTCAAATCAGTTACGGTGATTGATCTTAGCGATGGTCACTGGATAAAAGTAGTGATCGGGGAGTCAGGAATGAGGACTGCGTTCATAGTCATTCATCATTGTCTATACCGTAATCATTACAGAGGGACCTTGGTAGGTCCTAAAGTTCAAAGTATTAATTAAATCTCTTTAACAATCTGGTTTTGTGTCGTCCAGCGAGTACCGAAGAAGAAGAAATGGTGATGGAGAAGCCAAGTGCCCAGCTGGTCGGGCGAGAGTTTGTCCGACAGTACTACACACTCCTCAACCAGGCGCCCGACTACCTGCACAGGTACGCTCACCTTAGATGTGCAAGTGCGTCCACCCGCCAGCATTTTCACATCTTTTGTGTGTGTGTGTGTGTGTGTGTGGGCATAGGTTCTATGGCAAGAACTCGTCGTACGTCCACGGCGGGCTGGACACGAGTGGAAAGCCTCTGGAGGCCGTCTACGGGCAGTCGGTGGGTCGCGCGCCTGCTGCACGACACTTGCTACGCAGCCATTTCAACACTATTCCTACGCAGCACTTTTCCGCTATAATTGCTGCATAATATTTCATATCTGACCTATGCAATATATACACTCCAAGAAAAGCTACATAACTCTTCCTAGCCAATAATGTTGCACAAAACTTCCCACATAATTGCTATGCAACATGTCCCACACAACGAATCATAGACTTGTTGTTACACGTCCTTGCACAACCTTCGCTGCACAACAATTTTTACATAACACTTCTTACACCAAGCTTGTTACACATTTGCTCCACAACACTCGCGAGGCAACAGACAGCACTTTCTACATACCGGTTGTTACACAAAGCTTGCACGTCAATTGCTCTGTAACACTTCCGCCACAATGCCTCTGAAACAACAATTGCTGCGCAACAGTCGCCACGCGACACTTTCGACCCCAATGCTCATTACACAGCAAACTCTACAGGATACTTGCCACGCCACGATCCCGACAATTGTCACACAAAGCTCACCACGCAACAATTGCTACGTAACACCTTCGCAAACAATTGTTACAACACCTGCGACGTAGCATTGCCACGGAACACTTGCGACACAACAACCGCTACGTAACACCACACATGCTACACGACGATCCTGACACAATTGTCACACAACACTTCCCACTTGACGAATACCACACCAAGCTTGCTACACAACAAATACCTACACAATTACAAGTTTATCCAAATGTGTCAATGTATGTGCTTGGGGTAGGCAATATGGACTTTTTAACCCCCCCACCCCCAAAGTAACGATAATTGGACGATATTGTACGAAACGCTGCATATCTGAAATCTGGATTGACAGCATTTGGGAGCGTCAGCGCTCGATTATATTTTAAATTGTGTCACACATTTTTAAAACATTGTGCGGTGACATTCTTGCAATGTATGTCGGTGAAGAATCTCAAATTATGTGCAGGCCATATAAAGTGTTTTCATTTTACTGATTTTTGCAAATATTTGTCATTTAAATGTCACTATTACCCCATAATAACAGATCGACCACTGCCAACTACGACAGCACTCGGAATCAGATAAGGCGTGCCACTAGATTTTGGATGAACATTTCTGACCGTTTATTTCATCCAGTTTTTAATGAGGGACATCCGCAAAGTTTGATGTGTGGTACGCCGCCACTACAGCAGTCCAGAGTGAAAAAAAAAAAACATTTGTTGTATTGCGGTTTGTCCCACTTACTTCACGTTGGAATATGCCATTTGTGGACAGTTCTTAAGTCAGAGGGTAAGAGAAATTCAGCTGTTCGCGCCATCATTGCATCTATTATTTCAAGTGACAACAAATGCAGCCGTGATCTTCTGACCGTTTCTGTTCACGTCAACTATTTTCTTCTGCCGTTCATTTATTTCGCGTGTAATTCCACTTGATTGCAACACATTTATTTTGTTGGACACCTAATTTGAAAGAAAGGCGGAAATAGGAAGTAACTGTGGACAGCCAAGATGACTGAATATCAAATCCTGTGCAATCTGCTTTTTACACTTACAGAAAATGACAACTGTCGGTTCATTTTATGATGAGCGTCTAGCGGCGTGATATTCATTGTCAGATTATAAATTTGGTAGTTTGAAAAAAAAAAGGGTGCTATAAAAATGTATCGAGGGAGTATTTATAGAAGGCGTTCCGATATTGTGTATTTCACTTTTTGTGGGCGTTGTCTGGTATGTAACCACCGCCCACGCTGGAGGACGGGAGATCACCATCCGCGTAAACTACGTCGCGAGCTTGGTCCATGAACAAATTAAACCCGGAAGTCAAGCTACAGCTCGTCTTCCCCCGCAACAGTTGATGTGCCACAAATAAGCTTTTCAACACCCGTGTATTTGCGTGTATTTGTGCGTTTGCAGGACATCCACAAGCGCGTGATGGCGCTGAGCTTCCGCGACTGCCACACCAAGATCCGTCACGTGGACGCGCACGCCACCCTGAACGAGGGCGTCGTGGTCCAGGTCATGGGGGAGCTCTCCAACAACATGCAGCCCATGAGGAAGTTCATGCAGACCTTCGTGCTCGCTCCGGAGGTAACACCCGACGCTGCCGAAAGGCTCCCCACCCTTTTTATGGTCGTCAGTCCGTGAATCATCAACAATTGTTGTTTGTGCGTTTTCTGCTCTGTCAATTTGAAATATTTTATTCGTAACGGGCTGGCAATCTTTTTTAAAAAAAATATAATTGAGTAATTAATCTGGGGAAAAAAATGACATATTAAGAGGATGCTTACATCAATCGTTAGTTGCAGGCTTCGGCGCTCCACCTTGTTCATTTGATGGTTTGTGTGGCCCCGAATAAGATGCTAACGTTGTCGTGTTCCTCCCAAAGGGTACGGTGGCCAACAAGTTTTACGTGCACAACGATGTCTTTCGCTACCAGGATGAAGTCTTTGCGGATTCGGACTCGGAACCACCTGAAGGTTAGGAAGGCGATATTCTGATAACAATAGCAAATTTGAAAAAAAAAAAAAGCGCTGAAGTGTGCGTGTGTGCACATCTAGAGTCCGAGGACGAGGTGGAGGAGCTCGAGGAGCGCGTTCCCTCTCCGGACGCCCTGGCCGAAGAGTCCGTCCCTGCTTTCTACCAACCTGCGTCCATGTAAGCACACACGAAAAAAACTTAACACGACACACTGGCTGTGTTGAGAGGCTGTTGAGAATCCCAAAATGTCCGCTGAACATCTTTTTGAAGCGAACCGAATCCAATCACGACCTTATATTTTAACTCATTCACGACCAAAGACGTTTTTAAACGTCTTTTCAGACTTGGTCCAGAATTGGCTGGTACTGAATGAGTTGAAGTCGTTGCATCCTTGCATTGTATCGCCTCCCCCCCGTGTATCGACATACACGACATAGTCGTTGGTTATGTGAGATGCATACCAGATATAAAACGGTTTGACGTTGCATAATAATAAACATGACCGATTGCAGCCGTACCACATCAAATTGCAAACTCATGGAGTCAAACCAAATTGAATCGTTCCATCCCTGAATCGTATTCTACGCCGTATCGTGTTGAATTTTTGTTTGTGGAGAGATGCACACCCTGAAGAGTAATCGATTAATCTGGTGACATTTTAAAAAATGTATATAGTTCATTCCATCCGCGCTTATGTTATATTTGAAGAGATCCAATCAAAGCGATGTCACGTGCGGCACCCTTATTTATTTATTTATGAGTCGATCCATGAATCATAATTGCCACAGGAAATTGTCCACAAGCTCCACAAAACGGTTTGCTTTCATGGAGGATGACAGAAATCAGACAATCATTTCTGCTGAGAGGCTCAAGTCAGGATTTGAGCAATTTGAAGTGAAATGATGGCTTCATTCATATTCATCGCAATGAGTCACTCCACATTTCAACAGCATTAAAAAAAAAAAAAAAGCCCACCTCACGAAATTGCGAGGAACTCCCAACCCAGCCTCCGGTACGCAACACAGGACGCCGTGACACTTTGGTTTTTGTTTAGTACGGAAGCATTACACCCCGCCGATGAGGAGGAAGCGGCGGCAGCGGCGAGCCCAGAGCCGGAACCCCAAGCGGAGAAGGAAGCCGAGGTCGTTGACACGGCGGAGCTGAAGGACGTCGCGGGCGCCACCCCCGAGACGCAAAGTGAAGCGCGTGCGCAATCGGGCAGCGAGCAGGCAGACAAGAACGCCGATGCCACGGCGGAACCCGCCGAAACGGCGCCCGCCGCGCCGGAGGAAAACCGGGTCCGTGGCTGCTTTCTCCACACTCACTCAATGCTAACAACATGCTAACGTCACACCTGTTTTTGTTTGCAGCCCTTCTCGTGGGCGTCGGTGACCAGTAAGAACCTGCCGCCCAGCGGGGCCGTCCCCGTGTCGGGCATCCCGCCACACGTCGTCAAAGCCGCCCCCGCCGCCCCGGTAGGTCACGCCCGAGACCGCTGCTGCCTAAACTATTTGATGCTCTGCATCCCCGCATTTAGATTTAGCGGTCCACCACAAATGCTAAAAATTAGCAAGTGACATTCAGTCATGCGTTTTTGCTTTCAATTGATGACAACAAAATTATTATTTTTTTGCTATTACCGGTCATTATCTGATTGTTGTTTATTTGGTAGTTTTTAGCAACCCCACCAAAACCATCCATCCATCCATTTTGTGATCGGCTTATCCTCACAAGGGTCGCGGGGCGTGCTGGCTGTCTTCGGGCAGTAGGCGGGGGACACCCTGAACCGGTTGCCAGCCAATCGCAGGGCACACGCCCTCACACTTGCACCATTAACCTGACACATGTTTTTGGAATGTGGGAGGAAACCAGAATACCCGGAGAAAACCCACGCAGGCATGGGCAGAACATGCAAACACAACAGACCGAATCATGTTCTCATTGATTTTTGACTAGTCAATTAATTCGGACACTAACATCATTATCAGGACGAATCCACTCTCTTCTTGGCCGCAGGTGCGCGTTGACGTCAAGTCAGAGACTCAATCAGCGTCACAGAGACCTCCACAGCGGGACCCCCGACCGCGAGAGCAACGACCGGGTGCCCCTCCCCCCGCGCACAGAGGACCACGCCCGAGTATGCCCCAAACTGGAAGTGATGTTGTCAACAGCAGACTGCACTGTGCCAACTTTTTTTTTTTTTTTTTGCTTTCAGTTCGTGAGGGCGAGCAAGGTGAAGTGGAAGTCCGACGGATGGTGCGTTACCCCGACGCCCATCAGCTGTTTGTGGGGAACGTACCGCACGCCGTAGACAAGAGCGAACTCAAGGAGTTCTTTGAGCGTAAGTCATGTGACCACGCCTCGGTCCTGATTGAGGCATCGTTTCGTCTGCGTTGGCGCACATCGTGCACGACTCTCAAAAAGCTGCGAATAGAAAATGCACTTTAATCTGGACTGGTCCACTTTAAAATTTGACCTTGTGTGGACTTTTGAATGCACGACTCAGAAAAATACAAGAGTTCGCAGTCTGCGATTTTGGGGAGTGGCAACAGTGCATCATTGTTGGGGGGGGGGGGTCAAACTAATGTTTAAATGCATCTGAATATGGATACAATTATGGTGAGACATACGACACGATGTAAGTGATGACGTCACATGAGACTAAAGATGTCTTGGTGCGTGTGTGTGTGTTGGTGGCCCACAGAGTACGGGACGGTTCTGGAATTGCGGATCAACAGTGGTGGCAAACTTCCCAACTTCGGCTTTGTGGTGTTTGACGACTCGGATCCGGTCCAGAAGATCCTGGGCAGTCGGGTGAGTTAGTCCTGCCCGCCCGTCCGTCCCTTCACAACGACCCACTTCATCCACTTTCGTGGTTTTGGTGTTAATATGTTGATGTTAAAATGTTCAACATTTAAAATGTTCTATTGAAATCTCTTTGTGTTGATGTTGCTCGTCTCGTCTTCAGCCCATCAAGCTTCGCGGCGAAGTGCGTCTCAACGTGGAGGAGAAGAAGACGCGTTCGGCCCGGGAAGGCGAGCGGCGGGACGTGCGGCCTCGGGGGCCGGGAGGACTCGGAGGTCCTCGTGAGCGCATTGGTGGTGGCCCTCCCAGGGGCCCGCCCGGCGTGGCCCGCGGGGGAGCCGCCCAGAAGCCCAGCTTCGGTTCCGGCCGCGGCGCGCCCCCCAGTGAGGGGCGCTACTCAGCGCAGCGCCCATGAGGCGGGAGGCTGCGACGTCTTGACGATTGGACTTGACCAAATTGACAGTGAAGCGTCCTTCATGTCTTTGGATTTCAGTTTAGTTTGCAGATTTTGGTCGCGTCACTGTCCCGCCCTCCCGGATGTGTCCTGTCTTGTGTGTGTGTGTGTGTATTTTTTATTTTTTTTTCCCCCACCTCTGCCCCTTTTCCCCTCCAAAGCGGACTGGAAGTGGGAAGTGGACTTGAATCTCCCGCCTGTTCTGTTCCTTAAAGGAACGCTCTTTTTAGCGAGCTTGGCGCATCCAGCTAAGCCCGCCCTCCACGCAACTAAATTAAAGTCGGTTTCTCTTTTAAAAACCTGCATGTCTGTGCTCTCTTCTTTTTCCCCCATGATGTCATCACCACTCCCTCACCTCACTCAGGCTAATTCACTTACATGAAGTCCCAAATTTGTGTTTCATGGACTTAAATAGTTCTGACTATGTCCACTATCTAAAAGTCTATTTTTACTGGTGAATACTGAAGAACAGAAAAGGGAAAGCACTTTTTTTTTGCTCTTGGTGAAAGAAGTCACAGCTTTCCTCAGAAGGCCATCATGACTGTGATATCAAATCAACGTTTCATTACCTCTGTATGTACAATAATCGATTAACCATAAACGAAATAAGTCAAGGACATTTGAGATTACAGCCCGACGCCAGCGACATGGTGAATGAATCCCAACACGAACCAAGGTTTGCTCCTTTCCAACAAAAGCAGCACAGCAACTCGCCACCAGGGGGCGACGATGTATCGCAAACAAAAAGACCGCTTTAATTGCGGCGTCATAAACGCGGAGGTCGGATGGAACGGCGTCTTAAAACACGTCGCTCGACTTTTACGTGACTGACGGGCACACGACTGCTATTTGAAGCTTTTCACCTGCCTCACTGCTACGCTTGGAAGAAGGTAAACAACACCGAAAGTGAAATCGGCGCGCAAGTGTGACGTCATCGCGGAGGGCAAACTACAACGACGCATCACTGCATTTTAGCACAATCACATACGATCACATAGCATCACCTCATATCAATGTAAGATCACGTATTTGTCAACATTAATCATCACTAGGGATAATCCTAAAACGTTTTTTTTCTTCCCAATGAAGACACTCGCAAACATCAGCTCTCTCTTATTTTGGAAAACTGGTCAGAATTTTCTGCTGATGTTCATGACTTGTTACAGACCAAACCAGTAACTGAATCATAAACTTTGTGCATTTTCTGCACTGTTAATTTGAAATTATGTCCTGTTTTGTAATAAAAAGATGGAAATTGAAAGCAATGTTTTCCTCAATTAATGATCATTTAAAAAAAAACTGATGAATCCATTATTAAAATAGTCACGTGCAGTACTAACAATGAATCATACTGAACTATTAAGTACGCACAAAGTTTCAATAGTAGTACCGAAATACGCAAGCGTTTTGCTGCCGCACTAGAACAAGAAACAGCTTTTAACCACGTGATACATTTTGCATTAAAATGTCAGAAGTTGACATCCGCATTTGTTCAAATAAAACGAATCAATTCCTTCCAGTCCAGGCCACTGGCAGAGCCCATTGTAGGGATGTGCGTTTGTGCGTCTTTTGAAATCTTTATTCTTTTGGGAAACACTTATTTTTCAACAATATTATAGAGAAGCAGCAGTTAAGTGTGATTCATAATGCGCACGCGCGTACACACAGGTGCCAGTCATCTACATTAGTGTCAGTCATCCTAACTGTTTTCTCGTTTTGCCGAATGCTCAGTCAAATCGATATCCTGAAACTTAATACATTACAGTGTGAAATTAATCACATTAAAAGTGCAATTTTTCACAAGATAACACGATTTTTAACTTTACCGACCCCCTGTTGTTTCCAGACACCGATTTCAATCAGTGCAACCAAATAATCCAACTTGATTTGCATTTCAATTTCCAAAATCCATCATCCACATTCACAGTTGTTATTTTTTTTCTTACCAGTTGCATCTTGCGATTCGTCCGTTGTTCAGCGTTGCAGTCCAGACTTTTGTTGTTGTTTATTTGCTTCCAGGAGCTCCATCCAAACATTTCAACTTTCTTGCCATACTTCTCCAGTGGGCGCGCCCCTCTGTCAACACTTTTGTGTGTAATCGCCCCCAACCGGTCTGGAGTGCATCCTGTCAATGATTTGCGAGAGACAATTTACAGAGCTCCTGGTCACGTGGGGCATTATGTGGAAGGGACTCTCGTTGGCGACCAACTTTTCCTTTAGATCTATTGGACCATTTCAACCGCTGAAAAGTTCTTTTTTTGTTGTTTTGTTTTTGTATAGCACCATGGAGAATGCATACCATCGCCACATCTTCAAAGAGCACCAGGATATAAATGTCAATCAAGAAATCATACATCACAGCATCAAGTTTTATTTGCAGTTTTTAATTTTTTTTTTTGTTTGTTTTTGACATGACACAGATTTTCTCGCGACCGGTCGCCGACATTGTTCAAAATTATGTTGATAAAAGGTCATTAATAGAATAATTAGTAGGACATATTTCAATAAATAGAATATATATGTATATATATATACAGATACAGCAGAAATGCTACATTCTTTTTTTTCCTTCAAATTGCTTCACAGTTTTTTTTTTGTTGTTGTGTGCAAGCAAAAAAAGCAAAAAATCTGCCAATCTCATTGTCTTCATATTCATGCAAAATATTCTTAAATTTTGGAAAATTATAGTGATTTGCACCATTTTTTTTTTAACTTAATTTTTTTCCCCGTTCTGCTCGGACAAAACACGCCAGCGCTGGCTGGCGAAAGCAAAAGGGCTGCACAAAAAAAAGTGCCACCGCAGAAGCTGGAAAAGCCAAAGAAAGTAAAAGAGAAGAGTAAGGCCATTCCGACGTGTGCAAAAAGAATCAGCAAGAATCCAGAATCATTTGTCTCAGCCGTCCATCAAATGCAACAAATCAAACATGCTACTTGAAAAGACCCAAGCCCCCAACCCCCAAGTATAATACCTCAGAACTCCTCCTAACTGTGAAGTGAGAAAGTCACATGACCTCACGCCAATACGACTTTGAACCAGCGCTCCTTTGGAAGCACAAAAATGTTTACAGGTATGAGGTTGGGGTGACCAAAACAGGCACGACCCTCCCAGCATTTACATCAGCAACCCACTAAAATTATCCCCCCCCCCCGCCCAAAAAAAAATGGCTGGATTAAAATGTTTGATTTTATTAATTCACTCATCTAATTAAATAGTTTGACTTATTGTAAACAAATCAAAATTCATCCAATAGTTGAATTCATATTTTGTAAATAATAAAAAAATTCAAAATAAATCATTTTACATAAACACAAAAAAATGCATATTTTATAAGATTGGTTAATTCTTTTTATTGTATATATTATTTCTAACAAAAAATGATCATGATGAAGAAACGCAATAAAATTTAGAAATAAAAAAAAGAATGAAATAAATATAAAAAACAAACATTTGAATAAATTATTCAAATAAATGTTTGAGTCATCTCATTAAATAATTTGTCAATGGATTTGTAAGTAAAATTTGAAAAACTGTACAAAATAAATCATTTTACATAAATACAAAAAAGTAAATGCGTATTTTATTAAAGAACTGGTTCATACTTTATATGATGATATTTTGAACAAAATAATGGAATTTGTCCACACACACACACACACACACACACACACACACACACACACACACACACACACACACACGCACGCACGCACGCTAAAGATGGACCAAATGTTTCCCCACCCCTCCCGTTCACAGGTCCTAGTTTGTTTTCCTGCCTGCTAGCTAGATAGCAGCAGCAGCTATGGCACAAACTGTCATAATTAACACATTATTTCAACATCATCAAAAATTATAACCAGGTGGCACTGATGTGCTGTTCATATGGAAACAAGCAGCAGGAATTGTGATGCTGACAAGAACAAAAACAACAACAACAAAAAAAACATTTTCTCCATTTTAGGATGGAGAAAATAAAAAGCTAAACAGCTCAACCTTTTTTTTTAATCGTGTTTATGGAATGACTTCAATATGTGTAAAAATCAGAATGATTTGTAGATGATCAATAGCAGCTGCTGATGAAGCTAAGCTAGCTGTTAGCCAACTTGCAAAGACATCGATCCCAGATTTATTTTCATTGTTTTACCACCAAATCAAATGCAAATAAGGGATTTGCTACTGACACACAATTGTCAGTAGCAGGTTGACAAAGAAAAGTTTGAACGGAAGCTCAAAGAAAAGATGCTACTAGCTACCTAGCATCATTCAGTAAAACCGCCTATACCAAATTGTGAACAACACATAAAACGCGTAGAATGACTTGAACGTTAAAAAGAGCAGCTGCTGATGAGGCTAGCACAGAAGCTGTTTGAAACGCTAGCTGTTTGTTGGCCGATTAGCATTAGCATTTGTCTAGCCAGTTTCAAAAGTCTGATTCTTTTCATACCTTCCAGTAAACTCGAACACAACTATCGTCAATATTCAAGTTGACATTTTGCAAGTTACTGCTGCCCCCCTGCTGGTCTGGAGTTTCATGGATAAACAGTTGCCAGAAAAGAAGAAAAAAAGCAAATCATGTCACAACTTCTCCATTTTGTCACCAAGTTCGGTTCACTTGCCCAAATGAAATGATTAGTGTTCTCGCTTGGTGTCACACGATGGATAAGCGGCGTATGATTGGCGGGCGATGGCGACATCATTTGCATACAGAGCGCTTTGCATAGAGAAGCCAAGTGAGGATCAAGTTCAGGAAGCACGAATCACACCAGTCGGTTTGGCACATCCCCTCCCCCCGCACCCTCCAAAAACAAGCCTTATATTAGAAAAATAAAAATAGTAATAAAATCATTTTATACACACACAAATAACTAAAAATAATCAATCTCTTTCAATATATATTAAAGGGGAGAAAAAAAATCAGTATAAAAAATAAAGAAATAAAATAAAAATAATAAAATTACAAGAGAATGTTCATCATTATAAATCATGATAAAAAAATGAAATAAATAAACAAAAAGTAATAAGAAAATATACAATAATACAATAGAAAGAATCAACCATTAAAAACACAAAAACAAGAAAGAAAAAAATAAAATAAAAATCATAAATCATAAGAATAACATTGAGGAAAAAAACATTTTTGTTCAGATAATGACTTATCAGCACAGCACGTATGTGAATGTACTTTTTGTGAATCGTTGCTG